TGTAGACTCTTTCAGCAGAAACTTGAGCCTAACTGGCAACCATTCATTGAGAGGACCAGCAATTCCTGTTCAATCATGTGATGCTCACTTAAACACATTATGTGAGGGTTTATGTTGTCTATTTCAAAAGAATGTACTCATTCATCACATTACATTAGCATCACTATGAATACTTAAAAGCCCATTAGGGACCAACTTCATTACATGTACACAATGCTTTGCTTCTAATATTTTAAACATAGAAAACCCCTACATACTGTTTCTTCTGAGACCAGTGCATCTGAATACTAAACTGAAGAAAATCTTAAACTAAGGTCATTTAACACTGAGATTACTGACTTGGGATCACTGAAATTGAATGTTAAATGGGGCAAAACCTTAAAATATGGAATAGTTAATGGGTTTTCCAACATATTTACTCTTTGATGAGTATGCCTATGCATTTTTATGTGTACATGAATTTCAAAATCTCATCATGAGATGCAATTTCTTTAAGAAATGCCACACACCACATATATAAATATAACTAAGTTTAATGAATTGTGGCAAAAGGAAGAATTCAGAAAGCAAGGTGCAAGTATCCAGATGTAACAAATACAGCACTGTACAATCCTAAGCTTCTTACAAACAATTAACTTCTCAAATTTTGAATATAAAATATTCTGTTTACAAAAGTGAACAACAACCTAATGGCACTACTTTCACTGAAGTTCTTCAATCTATATTTTGAGGCTAGCAGAAACTATAAACTAACAATTATACTTAATGACCCACATATGGATATAATTTCCAATAGTACAGATGGAGATTAAGGTAAATTTTCCAGATACTGCCTTAACATTCTGCATAGTCCCCTTGCTTATAATTGTTAGGATATAAAAATATATCTTACAGAATTCAAAGCCATGTTTATGGCCTACTTCCACATAATATTTTGCATATCTAGCTTCACTGGTTTATTATTTTCTGCCATCAAACATTAAGCTAGATATAAAGTTCACGTGGCTGTAATGTTGTAGTTTTACATTCTGCAGAAGTAGGTGCAAAGTCATTGTATATACCTTCTCATACACGATTGACCTCAACTACATTATATTGGAAAATAAATCAACTGATGTTCAGTAGACCACCGTTGGTTGCTGAATACCGAACAATGAAGACACCTAACTGGTAAAGCAGGTTTTAAGAAAACTGTCATTTTGCATTTGGGCCCCAGTGCACATACTGTTATTGTCCAAAGATAACACCTATGCAGTTTATTTAGGAATATGACTCCATAAAGTACTGATATTTAATCAAAAGCACTGGAGCCGTTTTTTGGGAAAATTGCTATTTTGTGTCTTAGAGCCAATCTGAATGCCCCCTACTTCTTGGAGCTGGAATATTTTGGTTCCCTGGGCACTGACCTAGGATGAATAAACTCCTGAATACCAAATATGAATAACATGCGCCTAAACATTCAGGTGCTGGTGAGGTTGCCAATCCATGTATACAGAGGGACAGAATTCCAAACACACTAAAAATGTGTAAATCTGTCAACATTTTGAGACCTTTCTTTTCACGATCACAGTATTCTTACATGCTACATATAAAAAAAAACTATGTCATTTGAGTCTGCAAGCAAACTATACCGGGCCAAGTGACTGCCACTTGTCGACAAAGTTAGTGCCAACTCTAGTGGATAGAGCTGTCGTATCGTCAGCGCAACGAATCCCCACAGCTGTTAATTTCGGTTTTCTAGACCAGAGCCACTATTTCCTTGAAATAGCTCCTCAATTATCCTCACAAGGCTGAGTGGAACCCAGGACCTCTGGATCTGTAGGCAGGAACTCTGACCACTAGACCATAGAGGCGGTCTATATATGAAACTAAAAACTGGATATATTTGAAGATCTATTAGCACATAAAATTTCAGGACCCTACTAGTGCCAGCATTGCTTCCACCTTAGAAGTGTGTACAGCTGCCATGTTGATGCTGATTGCGGGAAGTGAAGATATACAATGGTGATGTTCATACTAGATGCAATGAAAATCGATCAGATGCTTCCAAATTTGTTGGAGAAGGTGTACCTCCCCCCATTGTGCACACACATACATGATAACAATACAGGCACAACTCTTCTTAAAAGAGAAAGTCAAATTATTTTAAAAAAGATTAAATAATACATGAATATATCTCATACCAGATATCTGTAATTTTTATATTAGTCAATCATGCTAATTGGTTATAAATGCCTATTTACTAGGATACATATAAATTTTGGGAGTACATTCTTAAACATTCACTGGACTGAGAAGTTCTCTAGATTAATTTGTACATCTCAGTAAGATAAATCAATTAGCACCACTGTATTTCATTTCTATGATACAGTATGCCATTTATATAAAGTAAGGCATATGGTAACACGAACAGCATTCCAGCATTCTGACAATAAATTCCACTCCTGCAGTTTGTAAAGATTATATCTGCATTCACTGCACAATGAACAAATTATGACAACAGGTCGGAGAATTACTTTCATGAACAGTAAAATGCCTGCAAAAGTTTGGCTGGAAAGTTATGAATCATACACCATATAGCCTTGATCTGGCCCCAAGTGACTAAAACCTGTTTGGGCCATATATAAAACATCTTGTGGGTCATCAATTCAAACCACATTTTGAGGACATGGAAGCAACAGGGGCATTGCTCAAAAGGAATACAGTTCATTCAAGATGGCACAAAAAGAAAATGGCGTACTGGTGGGATGTCTCAGTGTACAAGGTGGTAACAATCCCGGATGTGTAATATACCATTTTTATGCATGATATGAGAAATAAATTTATGAAAGTAACTTCCCAAACCACCTTCATATATAGAGTTATGTTAAAGCAGAAAGTACAGTTTCACAATGTAGTCACACCAATATACACATCTTAAATCTGCTCAACTTTTGACATACTTATATCAGATAACATTACTAAGAAAATATCAAACAGATTGAAACAGTGTGTGTTTAATGGACAAAACTATCTTGTAACTAGTCTCAATTTATTTGCATTCACCATATCACCACAGCATTTCAATTATTTATGAGTACTAGATATGACTGAGAGCTGGGAAGTTCAGTCAGTATAAGACATTACGCTACAGTGTGGACAACCAGAGACTCAGGGTTAAATTCCTGCTGGGGGCAGAGACTACAACCACACTAGCTCTCAGGCACATCTACCGTCCTGTCAACTGGATCCTGGAGGTTTCTTTATCTACTGCTAAAGCACCCAGTTCGTACATTACTCAGCCACAGCACAAGAAGAGCAAGGTTCAAAGTAGGCTTTAGTGTAAAACCTTTATCTTTCTACTACGTATAATTATTATTTCATGTTCTAAAAGTTAATAGGATTCTTATTTTGCTTGCGACTACTAATATACAGCATAACGGTCTCATTTGTAATTATTTATATACATGCACATTCACACAAACATATGATACACACTGCTGATAGCATTCAGACTAATAACTTGTTATAGGAAAACAAACAATTTACATTAAAATCATACAATTATGCTCACAAAGAAATATATTACTAGCATGTAAAGTGAAACTGATTAAGGACTATCAATTACTGGTAAAGGTAGAGTTGTCCCTGTGCTTAATTAATTAAACACTATGCCATGAAGGTGTATGGGGGAGTGGATGTATAGATCCACATTTACTTGACCTCGGCACTAGCTGGAGGTGAGTGGTCAGCTTTGCGCCTCTGCCGCTTTACCCCTGGAGAAACATCCCTCGGTACCAATTGGACAGGAGATTGGGTGGATCCCAGAGCTGGTCTGGAAGACATAGACAAAATTCTTGACCCTACTGGGACTCGAACTCCGACCTCTTGGTCATCCAGCCCTTAGCAAGCCACTACCTCGCCCCTTTACCCATTACTGATGTGCAGAAACTATCTAAATTCAGTTATGCCTTCAGAATAACAAGAAAAGTATTCACATATGCACACATTTGTACATGGGCCCTACAGACCTTTTCATTACCAACTTTCAGGAGTTAAGGAAACATACCCACATATGCACATGTTTATACATACACACCTTTTCTGAACCAGAGTTTAAGAATTACTATGTAGGAAGTCCTTTTTGTTAACAGCAACACAGCGACCTTGAATGACAATTTGTGGCCCTGTGTAGTAACGATACAGTATGCTAGAACCACGCTTAAGTTGGTTGGTACGTGAGAGATGTGACCAGCAATCAAGCCATGATGTATATAGTGGCATTTGTGGAGGTTTTCCTGCAATCAGTCTGGGAAAGAGAGAGAACAACAGGAAAATATATTAAAATTGAATATTAATATGGTTTTAAAAATAAATGCAAGAATTATCTAGTGTCATTTCAGTGTTGAGACAATACAGTGTACACTGGAAGGATGGCTGAAGAACGACGAATTGGAAATGATTTGGAAGGAAATGATCATGGCTTACATGAGATACTACCCTGATATTTGCCTGGAAGGTCTGAGGAAAACTACAAAGAACCTCAGCCAGGATAGTTTATGACTACCTTTACTGATGTGGCAAAACCATTTGTGAATGTGTGAAAAAGACTTCTCTACAGCCCCTCAAACAGATTCAGTAACTGCATGCTCTGAATTAATGTAAAGCTTAGATAAGAATTCACCGTTAACAGCCTAGCGACACCGTATGGAGACCTTTAAAGTGTAGCCGAGTGGCTGTGCAACACTGTATGAGTACGCACAGTCCACGCGTGCACACAATGTTTTAAAATCTTATTTTAAAATAGAAATTCTTGTTCTACTTATACTATTTTTGGACACCCGCTTTATAAGTAGACTGTCTTCCTTCCTGCATCATCTAACTGAATGCAGAGTTCAACGTCGCAATTCATGCACTTTGTCCAGATGTAACTCTGTTTCCCATGTGAAGAGCACACACAACACCTCAGTCTCCTACTAGAGGAAGTCGGCCAGTGATGTCGAGTGGCCTCCTCTAATCATCACGCTTATAAAACATCGCAATTACAACTATCCACCATGGCCTTATTTCACATGGAAGCCGTAGCTGATAATATGCTTCCCATGCTTGAGTGTGCGTGGGGCGAACATGGGATGAAGGAATGTTTTCCAGCTTGTATAAATGACACCAATTCAGACTGTGGTACAGACGACTCTGAAAGTGGCGAGGAAGTAAGGGGGCATTGCGGAGCTATTCCGAGAACAGTACCTCTGTGTGGCTAGTCCGAGATAGACACAGTCAGAGTTTCTGGAGGACAACGTACGATAAGACTTTGACCACACTCGTGCATTCAGAAAGGTTCCGATGTGACTGGAGAATGTGCAATACAAACATAAACTTCCACACCTTTTGCCAGATAAGATACAGTAAGACAGGATGTCAGCAGCATGCATTTATACTGCAGAAACTGTATGCATATTTGTGGACGGATGCTCGAAATTGGGGAAAATTTCTTTTTTGGAATCAGTGTAACAATTTTTACAGATTTTAAAATCTGTAAATTACTATATCTGATTCCATATTCTTTCTAGATAAAATCAGCATTTCTTTCGTTTATCACAAAAATTGTAGAAATCACAGTATTTTCAGTAACATGCTTACAATTTGTAATATTCTACAATGGCGGGCATTTAAAGTAACTCCAACCTGCTGCCATTAACAGAATTTAAATGGCCCATCTCTTAAAGCTTAATATAATTTTGGAGTTCATTTCAAGTTTTGCTGGCAAAGTGACTATATAAAGCAGAAACTTCATTCATGTAAGGCAGTGGCTGAGAAATTTGGCACCAGTAATATTCATTATATCAGGGTCCCTGGTGAGCTGTTATAAAAGCAAGCAAATTGAAAAGAAATTTATTATACATACACTTACGCTACTTCCCAACTTAGTTACCACTGGAACTGAGGCACTTGTATCGGGGAATAAGTTTTTGCATGCATGTGTCAAAGAAGTCTGCTGCTTGTGAGCTCAGCCATGTTTTGACGCCTTCCATCAACTACTCATTATTGCTGAAGCGCTGTGATTCCAACCAGTTCTTCAGGTAGGCAAACAGGTTGCTCAAAGTGAGATCAGGGCTGTAAGGAGAGTGGTAAAAACTCCCAATTGAAATGTTCCAGCTGTGCTCAAGTTTGAGCAGCTGTATGTGGATGCACATTGTCATGGAGGAGCACTAAACTGGATGTTAGAATTCCATGCCATTTGTTCTGAAAGGCCCTATGCAGTTCTTTTCGCGTTTCACAATACAAAACATGGTTCAGCTCACAGGTGGCAGACTTCTTTGACACAGACATACAAAAACTTATTCCATAATATGACCAAGCGCCTCAATTCCAGCAGTGACTATTTTGAGAAGTGGGCTTAAGTATGTACATATTTTTTGTGTATAATAATTTTTTCCCTCATTGCATACTTTGTTAACAGCTCATTGGAGGCCACTTTATGAACAACCCTCATATTTAATTATATTTCCGATAGATTGAACTGCAACAACTACAAAAATAATGGAAGGCTTATGACAAGAGAAACTGAGAGAAACCATAAGAAACTGTAGACATGATATTCAGTTTTCAACTAGTATAAAACCATCTACCTCCAAATATAAACCACATACACAGTGTGTCCAGGTTCTGTTAGGACTGTGTTCATTAAAAATACAAGATGTGAATTATTTTCAAAATTTCACTGTTTTTATTCAAAATAGTCTCCTTCTGAATCAATACATAGCTCGAATCAATTGAAAAGTTTTCAAAATCAGTCACTGTACTCCTTTCGTGGAATCACATTTAAAACTAAGGTACATTCTACAACTTCTTTATTATATCCGTCACACCCCACCACTAATATCAAGATCAGACCATTTTTGGCCCTGCTACATGTTTCAACTATTGATAGCCATCAAACAATCACTACCGTACATACTTTTCATCATTTTGTACGCTTCTTCAGCTGTTTTGTCTAACTTCAAATAAAATTTGATGTTGGCTCTCTGTTCAAGCACCATTTTCCAATGAGCTTCAGAACACATGATGCAGCGATGCTTGCGCTTTGAAATTATGGACAGTCACGGCTGAAACTTCAAGAATCTTAATGCCACAACTCGCCAAGAGGTGGCATTGCAGGGCAAATTTTAAAAAATGAGTCCTCACGGATCCCGGACACACCATGTATATTACTGTTGAGCTAAATGCTTGATAGTCTGAAGAGCAAGAAAAAACAAGCACACACAGAAAGCCAGTTCTTGGAAATAACTTACCCAGAATTATTAACAACCATACAGTTTGATACCACTTGGAATGGGTATGTGATGGCGGATGCAAGAAACTGAAAAAGATAGTTAGATGACTCCATGTTCAGTAAAGTTTTCAATTAAAGAAAAAAGTATTTTATTTTGTTGTTCTTAGTGCAAGACATAACTTCACAAGATAAGAAACTGAAGTTACTTTCTACATACATTTCAAAGTACAACATATTAACAGTTAAATACCAATTGAATAATGAATTAGGAGACTAATCTGAGAAAAAACTTACATATAGAAAATTTTATATTGAGAAACATTATAACTGTATTAATAAGACACTTAAGATCGTGTTCAAAAGAGATTCCATGTAACAGCCATATTTATTTCCATCATGCATACCAAAGTAACAAATCTTTCCACCCTCTGTTTGCAGAGAATCTTAACATTTTTCAGGAAACCATGTTGGACAAAATTGTCTTCTCTGCAGCTCTTCTTACCTGCATAAGGCCATATGCAGAGATTTAAAACAGTCTTTTATAAGAGATGTCAGAACTCTCATAATCTAGGGCCTTACCTCTGAACATCAGGTGAGAAAATCATCAAGGAAGTAGACTTCCATCCTAATTTATTTCTATTTCTGACAACCCTGACTGATCTGTTAAACCAACATTATAAGAAATATAGAAATTCCATAAATTTTACCCATAACAAAAAATATAATGTACTCACAGTCATAAATGCTGCACTGAACTTCTTTAATTCCTGGTCATCCACAAGATAGGAATTTACAACAAATGTCATGGAACTAGCAATAAATAAAGATGTTACTTCTCCTAGTATCCTAGGTACAACTCCACTGAAGAACCCCAGAATTCCATTTTCGTGGAAGATCTCTTTAATTGAACTAAATATCCCACTGTAACAAGTAAAAATTTCACATTTATTTATAATTAACAGCTTCATTGCTATGCTAATTTATTTACTCAATTACTGAGATTAAAAAGTTAAAAAGATATATGCTTAATTTCTGAACTACTGAAAAGCATCACTTCAGAGCCACATACGTCTGACTCTCTGAGAAGCACTAGAGGGAGTGAGGGATGCACTTTGAGTGCATTGTGTATAACAACAGTGGGATGAAACAGACATGCAGTTTTATATCTGTGGCCACAATTTTATGGGGGGCACACAGTAGCGTAGTTAGCATAGTTGGTCGAGGCACTATGCTACAAGCCAGAAGGCCGTGGGTTCAAGTCCCGATGAGGTCAACTGGATTTTTTTCAATTGACCTAATCCTCCAAGCACACTATGGCCCTGGGATCGACTCAGCCTCTAACAGAAATGAGTACCAGGAATTAATGAAATAATTTTCCTGGGGAGTAAAGCGCGGCTGGTGCGTAAGGCTGACCTTACCGTCATCTTTGAGCTGATTGTCTAGATAATCTGTGACCCTCAACATCTCACAACCCTATGGGCCTTCACGGCCTGGCACAGGGATAGCTTTACTTACTTTACTTTACAATTTTATGTCAGGCGTAAGTACAACATACTCCCCTTCAGACCCCTCACAGCCACTATAAAAATAAAATTGTGATACAGATATTGGTATTTTAACAAATAAGTACAAGGGTGGCAAACATCCATATGAATGTGCATGCACACGTGCAAGCACCCACACAAAAATGCTGATAACAAATTGTCTGTGATGGAGAAGTTGAAACCATTGCAGTAGCTTCAGGTTTCACTCAGTTTTATCATAGTGATTGTCTCTTGGCTAAGCCCACGAATGGGAGTGAATGTTGTCCAGCCAATTTATAAAAAAAATTGTTCAGGATCCAAACCAAAATCAGTATCTTCTTTCAATTGTTATTTTTAAGAAGTCTTCTTTACAAAATATTTGTGTACATTATTTTGTTTAGGTGTTTCATACAATTATGCCCAAGTGGAAAAAACATATGTATTGGGATTGACAGTTTCATGAGTTGGAATCCTCTTAGCTTTCTGTTTCTCATGAGTATGGACTTTAACTTTCAGAACTGCTATATATCTGTCTCAGTACTTTAACATTTGATCTAGAATGTATGCATTTCACTTTAGCCCCCCAAATTGGTCACCAATGCATAAAAAAATCAAAGCAAGTTAAGGGGGGAAGTATGGTATACCCACCCGTATTGAATGGAACTGATCTCCACATTCATTCTGTATGTACTGATAGTGAATCTGATTTTCAAATAACATGAATGCATAATGAGACAATTAGATACAAGCTCCACAAATGTACGTCCTTTGCTCTAACTTGAAAAGAAAATTTTTAAAATACTCACCGATATTTATTTTCACCTCCAACAAACTCTGCCATCATACGAACTGCTATAACATTGAACGGCTGGCTGGCAACGATTGCGGCAGTACGGCATATTATATCCCGAGTAATGTTGTTTACACATATTCGACTGATGAAAACATGAAACAGAAATTAACCTACAGAAAGATATCTCTCCAGCAAACAGGTAGGACGACTGTCTGAAGTTCACTGGATTTGAAATTATCACGATGGTGACTATGAATGGTACCACACCTCGTGGGATGTAATGCTGTGTAGTTCTGTAGAAGTTCACACTGCTTGCCAGCTGCTTCTCACTTGTTTCTCTCTTGCCTTACTCTTCGACACTGGAGATAGAGGCAATACAATCCTCTGAAACGTCCATAAACTTCTACGGAACTACATAGTGTTAAATCCCAGAAAAAAGTCTCTTGCTTAAACTTCCTTCTACAGTATGCTCCCAACTATTCAATTTTTGGCCTATTCATATGCCTGTTCAGGAGTGTTTGCAACCATGTACAGCATCCATTACATTCTCTCAGTTCATCTCTACACGTGAAACAACTAGCAAATCACAGGATGGATTTTCATTAAACTGAATACTGGGCATATTTATGAAGAATTATCAAGCCATTCCAACTTTCATTTAGATCAGGCAATATTAACAATTAATGTGCAGTTCTGTTTCTATTGTTAGTGCAACGTGCTAAGTCTTTAGTGGGACAAACAAATGTTTCAAACAAAAGTTGCAGGGAAAAATGAAACTCACTTCATGTGCAATAAACTTTTCTATAAGATTAGGTTTTTGAGAGGGGCACACGGTAGCATAGTTGGTTGAGACACTATGCTACAAGCCAGAAGGTCACAAATGTGAGTCCTAATGAGGTGAATTTTTTCAATTTACCTAATCCTTCCAGCGACATTATGGGCCTATGGTCGACTCAGCCTCTAACAGAAATGAGTACCATGAATCTTCCTGGGGGGTAAAGAACAGCTGATGCATAAGGCTGACAATCTTACCATCATCTGTGGGCTGACTGTCCAGAGAAAATGTGGGAGCCTTAACTTTTCACACCCCCAGGGGCATTCACGCCCTCTTACAGGGATAGATTTGCCTTTTTTTTTGCCTTAGGTTTTTGAGATATATCAACTGAATATTCAGTATGGACACATTCCTGAATCTCTATATTCAGCAATCACAATGGTATCCCAACAACATCAAAACTTATATTATCTTTGCTTTAGATCATTCACGCATATTGTCCCTTTCATTACCATGATAATCAGGAGTCTACTGTACAGTAGGAATGTCGTACCTCGCTTTAAGCAAAAATATTTGTAAAAGAAACACGACACATGATGTTTGTTGTAAAAGCAACTAGTAACTGGGCTGTGTCTCTGACGTCTCTAGATTCATCCAGTTGGAGGGAGAAAGCAACACAATTGGAAACATCTTTCAACAACTGTTCAGTTATGTTTCCACACATCATTTCTATTCACTGCACAATGGTGTTTCTTGATAACTATATATCTTCAATAGTAGCTATGATCTCTTTCTTATTTTATATTAGAAGTGAATTTACATGCTTTTCACGTATAATTTCCTTTTAGGCCCATGAGATCGACCAAAAATCATCCCGCGATCAACACGCTGAACATTCCTGCTGTACAGTATTCTCCAGCATTTCATGTAACAGAAATTACTGAATGGGATTTTTCATCTTGAGATGACCAAGACGAAAACTGGGCTAAGAAATTATTGTACATAAATATTAACTCACTAACTCCAGATTGAAGGGGGGACTGATAATCTTCACATTCCTAAATATTTGCCTCTGATAAATATGAAGGCATCAACCTGTGAGTGGAAAAATCTGCATACAGATTTGACTGGAGATTGTTCTTAGGAATCCCTGACTGAAAGCCCAAGACCTAATCCCAAGACCACTAGGTTCCCCTTCTTTCTTTGATGCTTCTTAAGTTTCCAGAGCAAGATTTCACTAAAAACAGAATAACAATAATGTGGCAACGACCAAAAGAAACTGCAGAATTGGAATGTACATATTAGCCATGTTAATTAAGAACAATTATGTTCTACACTTTCATTAACAAAAAAGTTCATGTATCCTTCAAACAAAAGTAGCATCACTATAATCACTGAGCTCACCTTCTACGTTCTGCTGTCTCTTCATCTGTTTCGGCACCTGAATCATTTTCGAATGTTATTTGCTCATGTACTTTCTGATATGTGATGTTATTTATAGTATAGGCACAAAGTTTTGGGCCCAATCCTCTATAACAACCCACAAATCCATCCACACTTTTAATGTAGGCAACTGAAAATAAGCCACATTTTTTTATAAATGTGAAAACAAGATCAGAAAATGCATATAAAAGATGCTGGTCTCTACAAGTATGTATTGTCATGTGTATGATTGACTATACAAATGGGGTTTAAGTTGACTCAATTTATTGCATACTTTGATACAGTGTGTGACTATACTTTACAGTTCACTGTTACACACGGACGCCTGTGCGCACGCAACTGAATCCCTGCAGTTATAGTCCTCATGTAACATCCTCTCTGACAAGACAATGGGTTTGTCTCTTATGAAGGGACTTCGCCATTGCCAAGGGAACATACAGGGCACACGATAGTGTAGTTGGTTGAGGCACTACGCTACAAGCTGGAAGGTCATAGGTTCAAGTCCTGATGAGGTGGATTTGTTCAATTTACCTAATCCTTGCAGTCATAGTATGGCCCTGGGGTTGACTCAGCCTCTAACAGACATGAGAAATGGAAATATTCTTGAGGGGTATAGGGCAGCCAGTGTGTAAGGCTGACAACCTTACCGCCATCTGTGAGCCGACTGTCTAGAGAAAATGTGGGAGCCACAACGTCTCACAACCCTATGGATCTTCACGGCCTGTTACAGAAATGGTTTTACTTTTCTTTTTACCAAGGGTATATACTGCACATATAGGATAGGTCTACATGGTTATGGTAAATGATTTTTCTTCTCTGTAAGTTGTGAGTCTGTTAAATATGATAATTTAGAATAAAAAACATCTCGTGGGGTTTGAGATGTCTCTGAGAGCAGAGTTGCATCTATATGTAAGACTTGCAGCTGTTTACTGAGCTTAATACACCACTTCCAAATGCCATTTGCATTAAATACTATGGCTTTGAGTGGCCTATGAACTCTAGAGGCCATTTTGTTTCATTAAGTTAAGTACCATTTCTGTAACGACCATTACTTTGTCTTTTTTTCCTGACACAGCTTCACTGAGCTCTTTGATCATCTGTTGGACTACAGTGGTGACTTTTAACATGTCACTGTTAGTGGGACTGGGAGTCTGTTCTCTGAACTTGGTGCTTCCTACAGTACTTCCACTGTCATAAGGGGGCCACTGCCTAGCAACAGCTCCAGTACTGTTGTGTATTTAGGAAGCTGTTGCATAGCAATGGCCATTGTCTCATTTGTTTCGCAGTTACTGTGTAGCAACAGATCTATATGCCACAGTACGAATGAATGCATGTATATCACCATAAGAATCCTTTCACTTTTTTCAAAATAAGGAAAGTACGGCAAAAAATACAAGAAGTTCTGGGAAGATATGTGATTGGGCAGCCCAACATTTGAAGCCTATGCCTACTACTAATTTTGAAGCTGGCTTCGAAAGATGAAAACATATACACAAGTAACATGCTTACATGCATCCATCTGTCCATTCATTATTCATTCAAAACAAACATTTCAGTTATATGGAGAA